CCCACTCCACCCACCCAGCCACCAGCGCCCTCCCCCTGTGGCCCTGCGCCCGTGGCTCTCCCGTCTGCCCCGCACACGCTGCTGTCCACGGCCACTGCTGCCCGGGCCCGGGATGTGCCTGCCCCTGGAAGACCCCGTGACGCCGGGGGCTACAAGGCCAAGCTGCCCCTGGGAGGGAGCAGGCTGGAGCACGCCAGTGGGTCAGCGGGGCCGTCAGGAGAGGCCAAGCTAGGGAGGGACGGCGTGGCCAGCTGTGTCCTGCTCAGGGGGGTGGAGGAGCGCCCCGCCACACGCAGCCCAGGGGAGCGGCGAGGCCCAGGTCAGAACCACGACTCGACAAATCCCGGGCTCTCGGCGCTTGGTCAGCCCTGCGGCTCCCTGCAGAGTGCGCCGGCCCCTCCTCAGGGAGGAGACCAGGCGGCCTCCCGCTTCCATCTAGACAGGCACCTCCAGCCCCTCCCGGCCGGCGCCAGAGTCGCCGCTACTCACACGCTAGCCCACCTCGCGGTCACTGGCGGCCGGGGAATACATGAGGCCAGCCCGGCCAGCAGTCGCCCCGTTCAGGGAAAGGCGGAGACGTGAGGGCGAGGGGTGGTCAGCAAGGATCCGAGAGGAGGAGGGGGACGGAGCTGGGTGGGGCCCCCATCCGCATCCATGGTGCACCCCCGTGAGGCTGCGAGACGCCTGCGAGTCGCCTGCGAGTCGCCGCCCCTGGGGGAGCAGCGTCAGCCCCCTAGCCCGATGGCTGTGTGAGGGCGAGGGGCCCGCGGCCCTGGCTGGCGGGGAGCTGATACTTCATGGACACCCACACGGCATGGGTGGGTCGGGGGGCGCTCCCATGCAGGGAAGGGGGACTCTGGGCAGGGAGGAGAGGTGCGGTGGGAAAGTGGGGAGCAAGACGCCTGGAGACCCAGACACCTCGCTGAGCTTGCAGCGCCGAGGAGGCCAGAAGCTGCGGAACAAGGGCCAGAATATGGCCGCCGAGGCGCAGGGCAGCGTCCGGCCCGAAGGCTTCACTGTCAAGGGCCCTCGGGGAGGGTCCAGCCGCACTGGGCAGCAGCTGTCCGCCAGGCCCGGCCCTGCATCACGCTGCTCACCCACAGAGCTCGGCCGCCCCAGCCCCTCGGAGCTCTCTTGCCTCTTGCAGCCACACCCCAGCCCCTGCTCCGGGCTTTTCGGGGCCAACCTATCAGCCGGTTACTTTTCCTAAAGGTAACAGAAGCCTGCTGATGTCGTTCCCACCTCGAGGCCAGTCGGAGACGCCGACTCCGCTCAGAGACACCCGAGCCGTGCGCACGGCGAGGCCGGCCCTGGGAGCCTGGCCTGCCCTCCCAGGCCCACGCTCCTGCTCCCGGCCCAAGCGACGGCTCATCAGCGGCTTAGCTGCGCCCACACACCTCGGGGTTTTGGCCCCTGGGCTTTGCCCTCAGCATGGTCTCTGCTGTGAGCGCTCCGGCCCCACCTGTCAAGACCACAGCCCAGCCCAGGGCCACCTCTTCCACCAAGCCCCACATGACAGAAATAAGGCACACAGCTAACAGCTGCCTGAGAGAGGCGTGCCCTGGCACTGCCCGTGGCTATGGGGGTGGGCTCGGCTCGATATGAGCAAATGCAGCTACCAGCTGTCACTACAGTCAAGGGGTCCGGGGTCCGGGTGCCCCCCTTACAACAGTGCGAGGGGGTACTCTGGTCTCAGGTGGCCAAGAGGGACCAGCCACTGCGAGGGCTGAGCCCGGGCTTCCTCGCTGGAAAGTCAGTCGTTGTGACTATCAAAGAAATGGCGGAGGGCGCAGGTCTGTATCGGAGGAAGCAAGTACCAGTGTCAAATAAGAAGTTTCAGGAGGCCCATGAAGATTAACTGGGATAATGCCAGAGAAGCGCTCCCCGTAGGGCCTGCTGTTAGGAAACACGCGGGTGGGGAGGGGAGGAGGAGTGAAGATGGTGCTGGTGATGGTGGTGATAGCGGTTGATGGGTGTGGTGATGGTGGTGATGGTGGTGGTGGTGGTGGG